TTTTTTTGTTTGTTTTTTGCAAGGTGAACACGAATTTGCGAGTCAATAACTAAAACCCACTTATTTGAATGGATTTTTGACAGACTAGCATTTCATAAGTCTTGTTGGCCCGGGTAATTTTTTTGCCTGACTTATTAAACGTCTCTGTTTGTAGGTCAGCAATGGTGAAAGGATAAGTACTGCTGGCCTGGAGGTCAAAGACGATGCGGAAGAAAGCGAAGTGGAGTTATTGCCTGAAGATAAAGCCGAGAATGACGAAGCAGAGAATGAAAACGACGAATCGTGTGCGTTAGATAAAGCCCTTCAAAGTGAAGACCTCACTGAGGAGGGCGTTTCTACCCAGCCATGTGCATTTGTTGTAGGTGATGAGGCAGGCGCTGAAGAAGGGGACGAAGAGAGTAGCAATGAACGCGAAGCCATCGTGGAGGGAGAAAACAGCTCCAGAAAAGCGTCTTCTGATTCTGATTCTAACAAGGAAGAAGCGGAGAGTCAAGTCAATCACTGGGTACATGAGAAGGTTAGTGAGTCAAACGAAGGAAATGATGACGAGGGTCAGAATAGGAGAATTGAAGAAAATGAAATAACTGGTGACCAACCAGCACAGGAGAAAAGTGAACTTACAGAACACAATGGTAGTTCTGAGATAAGCACTACTGAAGACAAAGCCACGTCACAGTTTAAACAGGAAAATGGAGAAATCAAATTAAAAGACCTAGAAGGTGAAGCGAAAACCCAAGATCCGCAGATAAGTTTCCACGGAGCGACTGCGTCGATGCGAATCAGTCATTCCAACGTGGAGCTGGGCAGCATGGCGTCCTCTGGGACACTGAGCAATGGCGAACGAAGCCCGGAAAGACGACGAATCTCTCGATTTCTGAATCGTTCCACCGGAAACCGAACCCCGAAGTTGAACATTTTTGCCACTGCGCAGGCGCGTGGGCGTACTCTTCTTCCGGAACTGCGCAGTAAGTTGTCTTCGTTTTCCCAGCAGGTTCGCTCCAGGTCACCGCGGTTAAACACCAAACGACCGAGCTTGCACGGGGAAACTAACAGTCAACAGAAACAACGTAGAAGAACTTGTCGCACTAAAATTATTGAATTATGATATCCGGTTACTCTTCTGTTTGGTGCTGGGATAGATTATAGTGGCCTTTGATTCCTTTACTGCATTTTGTTGTTGTTGTTAGTAGGTCAATAAATCACAAAAGACACTTATAAGAACATTGAATTAATTGATAACGACAGTTTGACAAGACTTGCGGAGCGTATGACGGAAAGGGGGCTTGGGGGAGCTGAGGATTGGACACAAATAAGTATCAATAGAATTTTTTTGCTATATTTCACGTTAAAAACCATTGCTTTGCTCTTGCCGTCTCGCACAATAATTAGTACAGCAATCTCTAAGGTAATTGTACAGAATGCTTTAAATATTATTTAAAATTTTATTGTTACTGTATTTTTGTCTTGTACGACCAAAGTTTACATGTAACTGAATATAATTAAAACAAGATTAGATTAAGTGATAAATGATACTTAGGCGAAGTACATACATAACAACAGTTAGTGAAATTAGACGTTTAAATGTGATATGTAGTTTCCTGACCAACAATTGAAGACTCTACTGTAAATGATATTCTTATTTAAAGCCAGATACCTCAGTTCTGGATGGCTTGTTAAAAAAAAAAAGTGTTTTACTGATCTGCGTAAGCATTTTAAATGTAGGTAAATTTTAAAAAGTTCGCTTTTTATAGTTTTGTATTGTTTGTGTTTTTAAAGATAATTTTCAAAGTTGAGTTTTCGATTTAATGTATGTAAAGTCGACTTAGGCAATTTAACGGATAAAAAGGCTGTGCCTCTTTGTTAGGGTAGAGATAATACCTAACTGCAATGACAAATGTCGAATTGCTTAATTATGCTGTTGAAAATAAATTAAGCGAAATATTGTCTGAATGACTATTGAAACGCCACTCAGCTTTTCTGCTCTACGCTGGAGCCCTATGTTGGTTCAACTGGGAAATCTATAATTTTCGAAGCCCTCCTTATTCAGAAGTGCGCATGGCGCCAAGGGCACCATTGCCGTCGAAACTTGCTATGGTTTCTGTAGCTTATAATCTCTAGGAACATTTCTACGTGATGGGATGCTACTACAATCAAACCTCCCGTAAGCGACCACCCAAAATGTCAAGCCGAGGTGGTCACTTACAGGAGGTGGTCGCTTATGAGAGCTTAGACCATAGTGGATCAAAATTTTGCCTCATTAGCAGTTATAACCGCAGAGACTTACCCCATGCTTTAAACTTTTTATTCATGTAAAAAATCAATTTCGAGAAAAATCCGGTTTCCCATTGAAATATTTTCGTCCTTTGTACTACCTAGGAATACGATAATGTTACAACACCTTATTATCCAATATCCTCTCTATTATCTGTCGAGTGGACGCTTATGGAAGTTTAAAAACAAAAGAAAATTTGGAACTTTTAGCTATAAAAGTGGTCGCGGTCGCTAACGAGAGGTGGTAGCATAAAAAGGTTCCAAATATAGCGATTTGACTTGGAAACGTTTCGTATTTTGAAAAAATGGTCGCTGAGGAGCGGTGGTCGCTTACGAGAGATACTAGTCGATCGCGTTTGTACGCATGGACGGAGGCAGACACTGCGAGAGTAACTTAATCTACCTGAGAAGATAACGCAATCACTAAACAAGTCTAGCACGATAACCATTTGGCCACCTGGTACTTCATTCGTTCAGATTTCGTTATCTAAAACCTAAGTTTGAAAATCACGAAATGTCCAGGTGGCAGGAGGTTTCTTCGTTTGTATTGATATCGGAATGTTGATGCAGATGGTATGTTTCATCAAGTCGACCTTCGACTTTCACTCGTGTTACTGGCAGTCTCCGAGAGACGGAAGTAGCACGAGGTACAGAAATCCATCACATCGCAGAAACTAATGCTCAGAAAGTGACGTGAAAGTTGGTGACATTCCGTCGACGAGAATTGACATTTAAGGCAGACACTGCTGAACCCCCTCCCCCCTCCCCCTATTCTCCCTCCCCCCCCCCCCCTTCGTGGGGGGACTCCCACATAAAAAAGGGCACGAATGCTCGTCGGAAATTTTGAAACGAGCCTCTAAGTGGTACTAAGAGCTGTTTTGTGGGTGTGGCTTGGAATTCTTTCACTTCTACGAAGTACCAATTGTAAAACAACGCACTAACTGACATCATAATTTCAATAGCGATAAAGACGATTGTTTCCAATACCTTCAGCTCATAAAGTTTATAGAAGTATTGTCATAAATTTATATCCTGTTTTTCGGCTCAAAACCCTAAAATGTACCGTGAAAGCTCCTGCTGTGGACCTTTTGAAGCTGAACACCCTGAGAGGAGGGTCTCAATGGGGTAGTAGTTTTTACAGCTAACGGTTAAATGTTAAACAATGTAAGGCCTCACGGTTAAACTTTTGGCCCGTTTACGGCTAACGGTTATTTTGTGTTGCTGTTTTTTTTTTTTTTTTTTTTGGTTTTTTGGTTTTTTTTCCGTTACGTTTAACTGAAATGTTAATAATTAATTACCATTGTGTAACATTATAAAATAATAATTAACTGGAAATATAACTAGGTCGGAAAATAGCGAGAGCTGTCGAAACGTCAAGGCGGCTGTCAAAGTGCGGTATTTCCGGTGCGTTGTGCGTTATGGAATGACAACAATTAGCCGAATTAGTTAAGGTGATTCCTTAGTATTGCATTGCGCATCCCTGCTGCGCACGTTTTTCGTGTCATTAGCGCGCACATGAGCGCGTGCACTTACAAAACGTAAGAGATTTCCCTCAAACTAAGCTCGATAGCGAAATAAATGCTCCTTTTCTCTTCAATGCACACGGTGACCCCCACGTTTTATTTCATAATTTCAATGAGGACAATATCCCCAATAACTGAGAAAAAAAAAAAAATAGCAGAAATCTATGGCTACTTTTTTGGCAAATGAAATAAATACTACACAGCGAGACATAACGGGCCCAACAGCGCATGTCCAAATTATGTTTCCTTTAAAGGACAAAAAAGATACAGGGTATTTGAAGACATTTTTTTCTGGGACGTAGATGAATAAACAATCAAAGAAAGTCACACTATGTGATATTGTGATATAACACGCTGCATTAAAAAATAATCGAGCGTATTTTTTTGCGCACGAAGATTACCAAAAGTCACCTAAATAACCGTATTTGTCAGCATTGTGGCGTGAAAACAAGCGCGGTGACTCCCTCTTTTTACTACGTTTTTAATATCTCCTTGTC